ACCCAAAATACACTACAGATGGTGAAAACCAATCCTGGCTCAGCTTTTGGAGGAGCAGAGTAGTGTTTGTTTTGTTTTATTTATTTCATATATATATTTTTTTAACATAACATTTCAAATTTCTGCTCTATCAGAAACGTCTAGTTGCACCAAAACCAGAGTGTTGGAAAAGAAATCAACTGTCTCTGCTAATAAGAAGAACTTTTCCTCTTCCCCACAAAAATCCTGCGATTTCATTCATAAATAAAATAAGCCACTAACTCAGTTGTTGGCAGGCTTTCTCTTTTATCTTTCACTCACTTGAGAAAGACTAGCAACATCACATTTTTGGAAAGCCAAGTGTAGTAATCATAGAATCGGATTTCATGTATTTTTAAAAGCATTTGCAGCAGCAGAGATCCAATCACTTTTAAAAGAAATATAAACATACAGAAATTTGGAAGAAGCAACTCAGCTCCTGACTTCATTTCTTCAACAAGAGATGAATGTGCAGGGAAAGGACTCCTTTCTAAAGGAGATATCAAAAAGTTAGCAACATACACTACAAGCACCGCAGAGCCAAAATACTTATTATCTCAAATAAGCCTGGATGACATTTGAGATGTCTCGACATTTATTGGCCTGCGAGCAGAGCGTGGGATCAACCAGCTTCTTTTCTCTTATTTCTTTTTTTTTTTTCCTCCTGCTTGCTCAAAGTCCATGTTCATAAAATATTTAGGGGAAGCTCTTCAGAGGATGATATTGCCTATACTATAGCCCCAGTGCAGGTTTACTGTGCCTCTGAGACAGATATTCTGCTACCAGAGAAATCAAAAGAGCTGATGGGGTTGAATTACTGCATCAGGAGCTCACTGTCAGACTGACAGTCTGGGCTCAATCCCCGCCTGGGACGCCAGCATGAGCGGCAGCGGACAAAATGAGTTAACACGCAGAACAGATCTGGGTCCCATTTCCATGGTTCTAAGGAGAAATGTTACTTTTCAGAATGGAAAGCAGAAGTATAAATGTTCTGCATCTTTCTGAACCTCAGCTGGGGAAAGCTGACCCTTTTTACTTCTTGTTATTTTCTTCCCAGCAGGAAAAAAAAAAAACAAGAGCAAAGAAATCTGGAATTCAGATGCACTGCTAAATTAGGCTATCAGTTGGGTATCATCTCGCATCGCCTAGTAGAACCACCCATTTCTGCAGCAGTCTGACATAAATGAAATAAGTTATCATGGTCCCCACTCCTACCCCCTGAACTTTGTTACAACCTGTCCATCTCATGTGTTCACAGCCTTCCCTATTAATCCACACATTTTGTGCTCCCACCACTATTTGATCTTTCCCTCCTAGTTTAATTAAATTAGCTACAGATTTCCTATGTTTCTCTGACGTTTTCCTGTATCAGAGCAAGTATCTGCTTTTAACCTTTTCATCTAATCCTGGCTGTGTGAATGTACCTTTGAACCTCTGGCACACTCTAAATCCCTATCATTTCCCCTATTAGTTCAAGGGATATATGTTCCTTTGTTCCACCTCTGGTATTTCTCACCCTTAGGCATCCAGGAGCTTAAATCAGGCTGCTGCTAAACTGTCCTCCTTTAATAATTTTTATGAAGTGCAGTCCAATTATCTTTATCTTCCTTGGGGATCCATTCAATTAAGCACAGTGGTAATGAGTGAATGGACACACAGCATTGCAACCATATTTACATCCAGATTAATGGGAACCAGGTAAGATAACTTTAAAGCCATCAATATTTTAATACCTTGGCTTTTCATTTTGCTATCTTCAGTGTCAGACACATTTAGAGAGACCAGTACAATTTGAGAGGCTGAGTTTTTAATTTCCTTTTTGGTTTGTGGAAATGAGGGTTTAGAAAGAGCAGCAAACTACATGAATTTGTCTTAAAGTATGTTTCTCGCAGGCTAATGGAAACACTTCTCATGACACAAAACAAGCTGGTACTCTTGGTTCAGTTTCTTGGACATTTCATGAATTGACGGTAATGTAAGAAACCAGTAAACCCCCAGTATTTAAGTGGAGATGCTGAGAACGTTGGGAAGTCTCGTTTAATGAGCATGCAACATAAATGCTGAGGTAGAAACACCCATTCTGAAGTGACTTTTCTCCCCTCTGAAAAACAAATGCTGGATCTGGAACATGGACCTGTCTCCCAGATACAGAATAGCTTTGACAGTTATTTTCACGCCTACTTTGAGGCGCCTTTACATTGCAGGAGGAAGATAGAAGGGTTGAATGGAGACTGAAAACCTGGTTCTGTTTCAACACAGCTTAACATAATAGTGTCACAGGCACTGATAAATGTGTCAATAAGCATTTGGAGAAATAACTGGTATCCAGGGAATTTATCTTGGTTGTAGTAGTTTCAGCTGAATAGGTCAGATTTGTTAACATTTTAATTTACACAAATCTGCATTCCAAATACTGCTCTTCGACTCCTTTTCCTAACAACAAGAAAATGTCAGCGGCAAAACCAAATTTACTTCTCTAATAGCTTTCTCAAGATTTCAGGAAAAACAAATAAAAACAAAAAAACAATCTGTGGTACAGTTATGGGAGTTCTTAAACACTGTTTCCAATTTAGAACCTAATACAATTTTATGTTAATAAACCAGAAACTTTTGCCAATTCCAGATGTAAACCTGCAATGCAGCAGAGCATGCTGGGAAGCATGTCCTCTAGCTTCAGGGCAGCCCTAGGATTGTGCCCAGAGCAGGTTGTTCCACCTCGACCCAGGTCTCCCTTGTCCAACCTGGTGCTCAGCCTGGGACACTCAACACCATATTTCCACATACAACGTGCCAGTTTGCCGTGATTCCCCAGAGCCAGTGCAACAGGGGCAGTAACATGAAGCATATGGTTCCTCTGAAAGTTTTAAAAATATTTCAGACTCAATGAGATAAATCTGAAAAAAGATGACTGTTCTGCCTTATCCTTTCCCTCTAATTATCACCTGACTCTTTCTTCAGCTGATTTGCTGAGATTAAAACCTCTCTCCCACCAAGCTATCCCAATCTGTCTCTGAAGTTAATATAAACTGATGACCTTCCTCTACCAGTAAAGCCCTACATTAAAATGCTGGCCCCCATTGATGTCAAGGGGGCAATAATAGTTCTGTCATTTCCATAAAATCAGCATTTTCCTGCCAGAATTCAGATCCCTCCTCTGAGTACTCTGCCAATGTCCCCCCCAGGGCTGAGGGCAACCTCTACAGCACTTGTTTCTCCTCTTCAACTGCAAGCATGCTGCAGGCTTCAGCATTGCCTGGGATAATCTACCTGCTTAAGATTCAGCTAACTTTCTGGTTCTCTAAATAAAAAGATCAGGGAAAGGTCAAATCTGCTCTAGGTTGTGCTTGCAAAGTCTGCCACGTCAGGTGGGAAGGAAGAGGCTCTGGTGCTTCTCCTGCTCCCCCAGCTCTGCTTCTTGTCTTCACATCTGGAAAGCTCTCCGCTCACCTGACCTTCTCCTCGTAAAGCTTTCATACAGTGTCTGCTCCCGGGTCAGCTTGCCCTGAAACTGTGCCTTGGGCAAGCCCCAAATCTGCACCGTTCCTTCCCTGTGCTGGTCCTGTCAGCTGCCCCAGGGCACTCTGCTTGCTGCTGAGCTGCTGCCAGTGCTTTTATCTGCTTTCAGCAGCGGCTCTGCAGCCACATTCGGGATTTCTCCCAAAGCTGCTGTGCAGCTCTGAAGCTGAAAAGCGGCCCCAGACTTGTGAATGAAATGGGCACAAACCCTGGCAGAGCAATGCCCGTCAGCCATCACTTGGCATCTGCAGTGGGGCCAAAAAAGTGCCACCAGAGCTGATGTGGGAGGGAAAAAAATCTCTGAGGTGCTGGAGGTTTTCATCCCTCGGAGTTTGTGTCCCAGGCAGGAAGCCCATGTCCCCCCACATGTGGGGCCTCTTGCTCTGTCTGTCCCTGCCATTGGTCACACGGGAAGAAAAGAGAGAAAGGAGAACAAACCCAGTTTCTAGTACCTTCTCTCACAAATGCAGCATGCTGGGCTCTCTCAGAATGGATTTCACTGGACATCTTATCTCTGGGAACTTAAACGTATGAGCCTAAGACTATGTGCCATACTATCTGTGGCTGGTTGCTCAATGAACACATGATCCTTCCCATCGTTTAGTTGACCAAGATCTCCTAATTGCACTGGACAGGTGACACTCCACAAACTACACAGTCCAATGGGGAAAACCCCCAGAACTTAAGTTCTCCCTCTTCCTTCACATCCACTTTGTTCCTTTCTTCCCCAGTCACTCCAACTCACCACAGAGGCTACACTGATTTTTGTTTAATGTGTGAGGTACAAATGATTTGTCCTTGATCTATACTCACAACTACAGAAGGCAGAACTCTGAGAATCATACTATGTAGCTTACACTGGCAGAGTATGTTTTTGTCAGTAAAAATGAAATTTCTGCTGCCTGTGGAAGTTGTACACTGTAAAATGCCAGGAAGAAGAGGCATTAAAGGCAGAGCCTCACACAAACTGAAAATCGCTGGAAGAGGATTTCCTAGTTTGGAAGTGACACAAGGATGCCATCATGAAACATGCAAAGTGTGTTGGGTATAGGCTGTGTAACTGCTTCCAAAGATGACATGCAAAGAAGTAAGCAAGACAGGTCTAGAAAGGGCTACAGATGTCTGGAACTTTATTTGTCCCCCAACAGAAGGGGGAAAAATGCCAACTTATGCATCCCCCTGCTGCTTCTGGAGTATTTTCTACATTTCTGAGTTGTACAAATTTACAGAAGGAAATTATCAGTTTCATGAGTTTCAAGATTCTCCCAGGATTTCATCGACTGATATGGATTAAGAAAAAAATATCACATCAAAGCCATGATGCCCCACAGTTGTTGCAGAAGCAAAGACCACAATCTCCACGTCATGACTCAAACTTTTAGAAGCTTTGCATTCAAGGCAGGATTTGGGCTTTGCAAGTCAGCAACCCTCAATGGAAAACCTGGTACGATGGCTTTTAAACTCACCTCTCTGTCAAGTCCAGCAGCCACAGTGACAATGTCTCCTGTCTCGCTGTTAATAGTGAACATATTTTGCGATGGGCTCTGTGGGGTCTGAGTCACGATTCGGTATCTCACCATCCCGTTCGCTGTAGTACTATCATCTGCATCATTTGCCGTCACTGTCATCACATAGGTACCTTGGAACAAGAGAAGATGAAATATCAGGACTATCTCATTGCAGAGCAGACTGCGGTCCCATTGACTTGGGGTCATGCATTTTACTCAGAAGTGCTACAGAGTAGACATCCCATTTCAATCCATCCAGCTAGGCAAGGCGAGGATTATGAAAATAGCAACACTGCTGAGACTAGATGATCTGTAAGGATACTGATTACACATAACTGGTATATAGCGAGAAGTCATATGAGGATATTTGTGATTAACTTCTAATTCTTTCAGTCACTGTAAGTTTTAGGGCAGCATTTTTTGTCCTGCAATTTCATAGATTCTCACAGGAGATTTTTTTTTTTCCATCCAATCAGTGCATTCACATGCATTCAGAAGTAGAGTTTAATAGTGGAAAGCCCATCAGGTTTCTCAGCAGCTTTAGAAGGACCCCATCAACATGCCATGTCCAGTGCAGGAAGCAGCTGCCTGCTGCCTCTAGTTCTTGGAAAAATGACCACCTTTCTGGCCCCTTCTGGAGAAAAAAAAAAAAAAAAAGACATTTCTGCAGAGCAAACAGAACAGCTGCTGCCCAGCAGGACAGAAAATCAATGATTTGGTATGTGTGGCCAGCAATGTATTGAATTGTTGGTTTGTTTCTTGCTAATCATCAGTGTCTTCATTTGCCTTGCAAAAAAACAATCCCTACTTTCTAGATACTGTTGGGAGTGCACTGATGCACTGACAGGCTCATTATCACTGGAGTTTGGCAGCAGGGTGTTTTGTTAAAGTGGGAAATTATCATTATAAGGGTAAAAGATGTTACTTGATTGGATGGACTCCTGCAGCTGCATGGTCCTGTGACCCCCCAGAGCTCACAGGGCCCAGCTTTACACTTGTTATATTGGTAGGAGAGAATAACTAAAAGGGCAGACACATACTGCTTACAAAAAGCAATCTGCACCAGTGGATGAAACTAATGATATGAGACCTGAAAGCGGGAGTGAGAGGCAAAGAGAGACAGTGAAACTAGACATAACCTCTTTTAGTGACCACCAAACCCAACAGCATCAATGGAAAGACAGAAGGTACCAGCTGAATACTGCTCGTTTGGGAACTCTGAAGAGATGAACTAACTTATGAGCCTGCTGTGCTAGAGGAGGTGCAAAGTGGTCCTAACAAGAACCTGAGCTGATTCGTGATGGTGCCATGTGCTGTTTTACAAAAAGAGCTGAGTTTGTTCTGCCCACTTGGTTAGATGTAAGCCACTGGCAAACTGGAGGACATGTGGCTACATCAACATTGCACTGTGTCTCATCTAACAAGCCCAGATCCCCAGCTTGGTCACAAAGCTACCAAGCTTCCAGTTCAGAGAAAGCAGAGAGCTGGAGAGATTGCATCTGTTTGCAAGAGAGTTTAAAAACATAACCAATGCTCTAAATGGGCATATCTACCAATGGCTGCAACATGCCCAAATTTTGTACCCTAGCCAAGTGTCTTTAAGCCACTCAGCACGTAGGCAACCCCCCAGTATCTTCCCCAACTTTGGGAAAACATTTCTCAGTATTAGCAATAAGTGGCCTCATAAGTTTGTATTTTTGCACTGTGGAAAGTTCTTTGCTGATCTCCTTCCATCTGGCTCAATCAGGATCTTTTTGTTCCCTGTGGTGATACATATTCCTGTGAGTTTTCTTAGTTCAATAAGAATTATAGATTAAAAAATAAATGAATGTGTAAAGCAAATTCTAATGATGAATACATTCATATCTTTCTGCAATAATCCTGACTCACATTTGTGAAATGAAAACAAACTATTCAACAACTTTAACATTTTTCCAATCAATAAACTTCAGGAGAGGGAAGGAACACTGAATTGAAACAAGGCTATGGAAGCAATGATTTTTCTCCTTTCTTTTCAGGCATTCGTTCTTTGCTCTTTTGTAAAATCCAGTTATCATGAGACAACTGATACAAATAAAGAAGCCAACCCTTAGATAAGTACAGGGGAAATGTACAGGAGGAACTTAAATAGGAAATATGCTGAATTAGATGTTTGATTTGGAATTTATGTTATCTTAACACATTCTATACTGAAAATATCTCTGAACAGAATGTCAAAACCTAGGGCTAATGAAAACAGAAGTGGAAGAGGAAAACAGAATCTATTTTAGGACATGTGCAGTCTTGGGACATATTCCAAAAACCAGGTATTATTTTGTGATTCACTTCTAGTTCGAGAAACAGCTACTAGGTTCAGACAAGGGCACTCCACAGCTGTGGTCCCTCCTCATCTGGGATCACTCAGACTGCACTGTAGTTTCCAAAATTAATCAGGATGTGTGTGAGATGGTGGGTTTCCAGCTTGTAGGGGAACCCAACAGGCTGCAGCTGAGGTGAGCATGGGGGGAGCTGACAGCAGCTATACTGTGGATGGAGTGTGTAGTAGGTGCCATTCACTCGTCCCCTGACCTTTTTGCTTCTTTCCTGTGGTATAGTATTGCACTGAGCATATCTGCTCTAGAAAAAATGACTATTTCAACAACATTTGACCTACATCCCCATAAAGGGAGATGGGACTGGACAATGTCTCTAAAATCATGAACTGAGCACCAGGGAGCTGTATTTCAAGAAGCAATCTGCTCCCTATCTCATATCTTTAATTTCCATTATGAAACCCAACCACAGAGAAAATAGAGGAACTTGGCATTAATTACTAACTTGTAACTTAATAAAACATCCTCTGCAAAGGGCCCTGTGTGGCTGCAGCACTCTGTAGTGCATGATGGAATTGCAGCAGCTGCTTCCTTCCCCGGCTCTCCCTGGGGCTGCTTGTCTGACCACAGTCTGCTGTAAACCAGCTGCAAATTACTCCTTCCTCTCTGCAGTCTGGATGGCAGCTGATATGTCTGTATACATTTCCCACCTGGCAATGCTGACCCAAGAATAAGAATGTGATGGCATCTCCTGTTGCCTGTGCTGAGGGTACCCCTCCTGAGGACCAGTCCCAGGGGATCAGCTGGTGTAACCTACATCACCGTCTATGTTCCACTCTGTTTTCTGTACATAAAATCTGTCTTTAAGCAAGACATACCCTCTAGATACCTGTGTGGTGCAGTGAATGACATAAACATATATCTGTGCATGAGAGTATTCAACAGAGCAATGTGGATAAATACTGCTACAGTGTCTAACATCTTCTGGGTGCTATATAAAGTATTCCACTATATTAAGATGGTTGGTCATGATTTACCTGCTATAAAAGTAAATAATATCATGTTTCTATGTCCTATACATGGGGATATATCTTCATATACTTTAAATTAAGATAAAGGAAATACATCCTCATATCCAGCCCCTATTACTATACAAACTAGGTAAATACACAGTGTCAGACTGCACAGTTCTTACACGCTTGAGGACTGAGGCTGGTGTTGTTAGGGTTTAAGTGAAAAAGTACAGACTACCCAATCTGCATGCAGGATGTGTGTACGCATTTTGTGGAAATCAATCAAACTATTAACCACAATGTCTTTAAATCCCTATATCCTACCCAAACAGAGACTCGAAGGACTTACTGCAGACCAGAAACACTGGGCAAACTCCTCCAAGTCACACTCAAGACCCCCACACCATAACTCTGGCATTTTTGGGTCAGACCCTGCCAGTGACGATGGGGCTACAAAAGAGGTGGATAAATGGGGCAAGAGAGACTTTATGCTTTCAGTGTATGACAGAAGCATTAGCTTTATTTTTCTGCTCTGAAGGGCTTGCTTTCATGCCCACTGACAACATTAAATGAATGCACGAAGTGCCAAAACTCTGGAATTTGCCCCAGTCTGTGCAGTGTATCACGTAATGAATAGCCAGTCCAGACGGTGTTTGATATAACTGTATTAAACTACACACCTGGTCTACTAACTCAGGTAGATAACCTGTTGAAAGAAAAATATATCTCATCAAATAAGGCACATGGTATGTTAAATAAAATACCTAACCTAGTACATCATGTCAATATTAAATCAAATTTGTTGCATGTTGAACAGCTCTTCCGAGAAGCAGATTGAATTATCATGCACAGCTAGTGATGACAAGATTACTGTGCATTAGCTTTCATTAACTAATGTGGCAAGTTCATATATCACCTGAGTTAAAATTAATGTATGGCATGATGAAGAAGATCTATCAATAAAATGCAAGACCCCAAGAATCTGCAACTTCACAGTGATTTCCCAGAGACCGCAATTTTCTGGATATTATTTTGTCAAATGAGATATTTTTGTTTCAATCTAACAATGGACAAGACACAAGAGAGAGATGCTTGGATATAAACCTTATAGAAAAATATTCCCATTAGATTAATTAAGATTTCTACAGGACAGGAAAAATAATGTCTTCCAGAATCTGGGGGGATGGAAGCAAGGGGAGATAATTTTCACCTGTATTTTCACTTCTGTTTATCAATTTTAAAATTAATTGCATCTGCTTGTAAAAGACTGCAGAAAGATTTTTTTAGGTTCACTATATCTCATTTGATCTGTACATGTTAAGTAAAAAAAGAAGCAAAACAAGAAAGATAGCTGCCCTGTCTATGTATAAGCAGATAAGCACACAGTCGTAAACAAATGTGTCCCCCCAAATCACCCTGGAATCTGAGAATCAGCTCAATTCTTTCTAGCTCAGACAGTCCCAAAGCATGCCAAGGACTGCTAATTCACATCACGTTGTCTGCAATCTCTGCTCTCCCATCTATGCAACTTAATTTCTCTGTAAAGACTGAGCTTTCACGGTTTTAAGGCATACAAACAATATCTTAGCACAGTTGTGCTCCCAAAGTCTTTGTTACAATTGCTTTATAATTACCATTTCTCTAAGCTGGTTTGATATCCATTAGTTAGATTTAATGCATGTTAAAAGAAAGTGCTAATGGGGACTTATCAGGAATCCAAATTAAAAAAAAAGATAAAAACCTCTTTCACTGTGCCCTTTATACCACATATCACTACAAAAATACACTATCCTCTCTGTCTACTCC